TTGTTGTTGCTAGATAAAACCTCTCACCGACGTTTTTGTAAGTCTTCAACAACGTATTTTTTTCATAAGTGTGCCTTGTTCGTCTCTCGATCCCTGATTTCCTCACCTGAAGTGCAGAAAGCATGGTGAGTAGCTCCCTCCGTCTTGCTGTCAGTCAAGACAGAGAGGAGTGTTTGGGTGGAAAAGTTGATGACAATTTTCTTATCGAAGAAAAAATGTCACCCTCTTAGTGTTAAGAGAAATGAAAATACGAACCGACTGTTCGCTTAGATAACCAAACGACAACGTGACTGAAGACGAAAGTGGAGCATCGGCGCTGAATAAGACTGGAAATCGCGTGTTCCTCGAAGACCTCTCTGTTTCGTTCTCGAACGATTCTTGAAAGTGAAGAAAAGTTAATCTATTGGACATAAGCTGTGCTTGTGGGCGTGGCAAGCACACTTTGTGGGCGGAGCGAAGCAGACATGCCTTCAGAAGATGCACGTTGCTTTAGTCTTCTTACCAGGAGCAGTTTGACTGCACATGTCAATATCATATGACGACTGTCATAACATGTCAAAGTGCATGAACAAGGAAGTGTTGTGTGGACAGTACTCAACCTTTTTAGGGGTCAGTGAATAATTTCTGGTGAAAAATATTAACACATATCTCTTTTGTAAAATGCTTCGAAAATTACCATGAAACGAAAGACAATCGATACTTTTCCAAGACTTGAACGCACTGGTCGGGCTTCCCTCAAGGCGCGCGCAAGGCCCGCGTTGTGGTCCCCCGTGTACGGAAGCCGAAGAGCCGGCGCGAACAAGGAGCCAAGATCACGCGCTGAGCGGCGTCATTAGCTTTTCACGGGAAGGGATCCTCTCCATTGGAACTGAGAGTCTGAGAGTGAAGAGTCCAAAGTGTTGTAGAGAATGAAAACCGAGGAGAACAGAGGACAAGGGACTGGGCTAGACTTTTTAAAAATGAATAAACTGCTGTGACCATGAAGGGGGTTTCGAGCGGAGAGAAGACGACCCCCCGAGGGGCCGTGGCGACCATGGAGCCCAACCCCGCTGCAGTCGCTTCAGGTGAGGCATAATAAGGTGTTCACGAATATCGAACACAAACATTCAGTCTGTGTGGTCTCTTTATCCTTCTTCACCTCTCCTCACTCAGTTAGGTGCGCTACACAAGGACTTCTCTATTGATATTAAAAGAATTTCCTGACCTACGTGCACGCACACATAAACACACACACACACTCTCTCGCATACACATATATAAATATATCATATATGTGTGTGCCTGCGTATGCGTATGTGTGTGTTGTGTCTGTGTGTGTATGTCTTAATGGTCGTGCGTGTCTGTGTGTGATCGTCATAATGGAACTTCCTGGTGAGAAGCGGATCTGAATCATGCAAATAAACCGAGATTAATAGGAACAAGACGATTATTTTTCAAAGCGCTTCGTATTTGCGGCCTTATTCATATTGGCCATACTGATGACTATGACCCATCACAATGTATTCAAGTCGCGCAAAGAATAAGACTAAAAACAAGACTAAAAGCAAAACTAAACGAAATACAAGGGCATGTCTCATCAGTTATTTCCCGTTTATATTTATATGTTTAGACGTGCAGTGCAAGGCATGGGGATAGTAGGAATAAACGGGAGGGATATAGGGTAATCAAAAGAGACATGCAACATAAAGGGATATCGTAGGTTAGGAAGGAAGGTTAAGCAGTGAAGGCATTTCAAAATTTGGAAAACGAAAACAAAGGAAGCGAACCACTCTTTATTATCATTTTATTGTTAATATGATTTTTAGTATTATTTATTACCATTATTATTACTACTATCATTATTATTATTATCATTTTGGTGGTGGGGGTAAATCACGGGTTTCTCCAGTCATCTGTAGAAGACTTAAACTTATCTATTCGTCAGTAAAGATTCCTGGAAGTCGTTCCAGCGTAGATGGCAATGCATCACGGGAATTTATTAACGGCAGATGGATATTGGTTGTTTAGAATTGGCTTTTCGAAGATCGTTGCGATATTTCTTCTATTTTTTTTAATGATATTCTATAATTATAGTAATTAATGAGATAAGGCTTTATACCCACATCCACACACAAATATATACATATATATAAATATATATTTGTATATATATATATATATATATATATATATATATATATTTACACACACACACACACACACACACACACACACACATATATATATATATATATATATATATATATATATATATATATATATGTGTGTGTGTGTGTGTGTGTGTGTGTGTGTGTGTGTGTGTGTGTGTGTGTGTGTATATACATACATACATACATACATACATACATACATACATACATACATACACACACCCACACCCACACACACACACACATATTATATATATATATATATATATATATATATATATTATACAGTCTATTCATATATTCATACATAACACGTACAGTCCTCCATAGTTGTATGGACAAAGGTCGAG